TTTTCTTTTCTTTTCTTTTCTTTTCTTTTCTTTTCTTTTCTTTTTTCTTTTCTTTTCTTTTCCCAAAGAGACTGTAAGGTATAATTATGTCAATGACATAAAATATGAAATCAGTACAAACTTTTTAATAGCTAACAGTAGACTGACTAGTCTGTAGTGTAGTATGTTTTTTTTCCTGCAGAAGAGAACAGGAAGATAAAATTTCATGTTCAAATCTTTAGTGGCTTTTATTGTACATGTAAGAAAAGTTTAACCTGATTGTATTCAATTTGCAAATAATATGAAGTAACGTGTTGTTGAATAACTTATCCGTTTAATGAATAACCTGCTTGTAAAATTGAATGAATATCAGTTTGCCTGTCAAATATACTTAGAATAGTTTTTTTCCACTCATAGGTATCATCTATGGGAATAACACCTTTCTTTGTAGAAAATGTTAGTGAACTACAGTTATGTGCCATCAAATTGGTGACTGCAGTAAGTAACATTTATATAGGCTGTATTTTTTGATGGTAGACAATTAGACCTTAGAACTTACTTCATTTAATGTTTTTACAGTTTGGTATCATAATCTAGGAACAGTATTAAATCTGCCTGAGTTGCTCCTATTTCCTATTGAGTTTTCTTCTTCTATAGGAAGAATTAGCCTACTTAAACAAGGAACTTCCTGAATTATGGTTTACAGTGTAAACACAAACCCCTTTCTCTTGTCCTTTGTTGTGTAAGAAATCCTAGCAGTATGACTTTCCTAATTTCCTTTAAGGTTTGAATGCATGCAATGGAATAAGCTATAGAACATCAGAGTACTTTTATAATAGAATAAGTTTTTCTCCTTGGAAGAAAAATTAATGGGGCAAATACAAGATTATTTCAGGAAAAACTCAGTGCAACATATGTGTTTGTTCAAATGGAAGTTTTCTGTCTTTTTAAGAATGATATGCTCCAATACTTATAAAAGGAATTCTGCCTAAACAAAAAGATAAGCAAATTCTATAATCTTGACCCCATAAATTGAAAGAATATTGCATGTCTGGCAAATATTGAAGACTAAGATATGAATTAAAATTAGTTTATCACGTATGTTCTAACATTGTGTATGTGTTCATGTTAATTTATGGTAGCATAGAGTTTTGCTATGTATACTGGAGTCTGAAAGCTTAATATTTCACTATTTGACTTTCTTATATAGTTTATTTCTACCACTGACATAAAACTTAAAATTATAGGGTATTTTTAAGAGCTATTACACATTAGTGTTGTTAAAGATTTTTAAAATATTTGAATTTCTTAATGTATTTTACAAAGAAATGCTTTGAAATAAAAACAAAATAATGCATTAAAAACAAGGTATTGTTTAGTGCCATGTGAAGTGTGTGGTACTATATATCATTTTAACAATAAATTTATCAATTAATATTTTATGTAACACATTTTTAACAATCCTATGACTGTTAAATAGGTCTTCTCCAGGTATGAAAAACATAGGCAGCTAATACTGGAAGAAATTTTCACTTCCCTTGCAAGGCTACCAACTAGCAAGAGGAGTTTAAGAAACTTCAGGTAATTTTGGACATAGATTGCTATCTTGCAGATGGAAACATTTACAGTTTTGTACATTTAGGATTTTATTAACATTTCTTAAGAAAAATTGCAACTTCAAAAACTGCAATTTTTTAGATGTTGATATTTCATAATTTCTACAGTGACAGCAGAATTTCCTGACAAATTTATCTTATAATAGTCACTGTTTATTATGCCATTGTACTTGGTTACAAAAATAATTGAAATATTTAGCCTTCTCACTAGGGATGTAAATTTAGTATACTGCTAGTGTGCATTCAAAGGGATTTTTTGTTGCAAAACTTTTTATTCTGTTTATATGGAGTTAGGTAATTCATTGCTAAAACTTAATAGGAGAATTCAGGGTGGATTTCTTTGAAGACATACTCAAAGCATCCTTTCCAGGAAAGGAAACAGATCTAATACTACTTTGAATGCATTTTGTTTAGGAACCACTCAGTTCACTTTGTGTTTTAAGTGCTTCAGCTGGACTTCAGAGCATCTTCTCAGTAATGGGTTCAGGTTGAGTCTGAGAGATAATCTGACCTGAAGTGGATTTCAGTTAAAATTGAGATTCCACACATTAGGTGATTCTAAAACTTTTATCATTGTTGTTGGCATTGATTTAGTTCCATGCATGTATACAGCTTTCCCCTGGAGATAGAGAAATTGTCAATGAAATAGGTTAACCAATCCAGGGTAAATAAACAGGAAATACACAGTAAAACAAATGCACTGAAACTTTTAAGTAAAATTCAGTGACCCTAATGTTAACATGATTGCTTATGCTTAGTATTTCATGTTGTTTTGATTATAGTCATCAAAGACATCTAGCAAATAGGAATGTCGTAGGCATAGGACCATAATTGCTAAATACTCTCTTTGAATTAGGATCTTTGCCAGAAGGAAGTCATCATCTCGAGTTCATAGTGACCACACTATTTATCTATAGAATTCTAGCTCTGTCATGTTAAAGGGCATTTCTCTGGCTACAGTCATGAAGGGGACAGGTTAAAGAAAATTTGATACAAGAAGATTTTCTGTAGATTTTCAGCTGCTGAGATTTACAGATATTCTGATAATCATCTGTGGGATGTTTCAGTTCATCTCTCCTACCAAGAATAATACTGCTTTTGTTAGACCCAATCTTTCATAAGAGAGGAACAAATAATTAAATAAATGACTAGAACAGATTTCTAGCTGTGGTAAAATTTTTATAAATCTTAAAATTATTTAAGACCAAAAATAATTGTTTTATTTTAGTGTTATGCTATCCTTTTCATGTTAACAGGTTAAATAGTAGTGACACTGATGGAGAGCCTATGTATATTCAGATGGTAACGGCACTAGTTCTGCAGCTTATTCAGTGTGTTGTGCACTTACCATCAGCAGAAAAAGGTTCTAATTCAGAGGAGGAATCGAATAAAAAAGTAAGGATGATTTTTTTTTGTTAAATACCCATAATATTTTAATTTTTTGTACAGGAATGATTGTGTGCTTGTGGGTATAATGTTTTATGATGGTGCTCTAGTAAGCAGATGACTTAACTTTGTCTTCCATAATTTTTTGATGCATGAGAAATGCTGATCTGGAAATCATATTTCTGTGTACGCTAAAATATTAGACTAATAAATCTTATCTTTAGGTGGATCAAGATGTGCTTATTACTAATTCATATGAAACAGCCATGAGAACAGCACAAAACTTCCTTTCTATTTTCCTTAAGAAGTAAGTACTTTTACATTCTTTAGTGTATTGATGAAGCATAACTGAATAAAATATGCCATACCTTGAGACAAAACTAATTACTTCACAGTGCTAAATACCTACTAGTAAAGTTACTTTTAACAATGCATTTTATTAGATCCTTGAGAGAGAGTCAGAGATTGTATTTTATTTTTTTTTCTCTGAACAAAACTATGGAACAGAAGTTCTACAGAGAGTACTTTATACATTTAAGAATCTGTCTGATAGTTTATCTAGGATTATTTTATCAGGTGTTACTCATCTGAAGCAGGAAAGAGGAAGCTGAATAAATATTTGAGTTAAACCAGATTCATTCAGTCATAAGGATGACTAAAGAAAATCTAAAATCACTTTCATTTAGCTAAAGTTAGGAATGTCAGTAGCTGGGTAGGAGAAAAAAAATGTACTTGAATAATCAAGCCAAGAATTTTTAGAAAAAGTCCTGTGGTTTTTATCATGTTAATTTCTACTGTTAAGCTGAGAGACTCTTTAGAGATCTAGTCATCTCTCTGTGCATTTCTGGTATCATTAAAGAAGGTAGGAATGTCGCAGATAATTGAAACACTATCAGGTATGTTCTTTTGAATTTTACATTCTGATTTTAATATTGAAGAGTATAACTGAGATATCACTCTGAAATAAGTCAGTCCAGGCTTAGAGTCTACGCTCCATATCTACTGAATACACCACTCCAGCTTTGAGGTTCAGAATTTTACCTACCTTGTCCATCCTCTTCATTCAGACTTCAACTCAAAACAGTAAATGAAAAAGTTTAGGGAAAAAAAAACAAACAATACTATTCTGGATTAGCTGCCTTCTTTGCAGTAAAAAGTAGTGATAAATGTTTGAACGATTTGCCCTTAATAGCCTTAACTGGATACAATTATTTTTCTCCAGGATTATTAAATAATAAATAATTATTTTACTCCAGGATTGAGTTTTGTTTTTGGTTGGTTGATATTTTTTTCTAATTTGTTTTGGGTTTTGGGTGCTTTTTTAATCACATAAAACTTGTTGGGTTTTTTTTCTGGTTAAGCATACTGTTTATTTATTAACATCAGAAGAAAAGCTTTAAATGGCTCCTAAATTTGCTTCCATAATGTGTTTTCTTCTAAACAGGTGTGGTAGTAAACAAGGGGAAGAAGATTATAGGCCGCTGTTTGAGAACTTCATTCAAGATCTTCTTTCCACAGTCAATAAACCAGAATGGCCAGCTGCAGAATTGCTGCTTAGCTTATTAGGAAGGCTATTGGTAAGGGATTCTTGTTTTTAACTATGAAGACTTCTTTCAGCTATAACTAATAGTTTCAGCTATTATAATAATGCTTTTTGATAGTTGATAAACATGCATTGTTTAAGGATTTTGTTGTGTATATTCCTATGCTGTAATGTATAGTTGATAAAATTTAGATCAGAAGATCATTGATTCACAACTTGGGAAAGGTCATAGGTATACTGTTTCTCATGGAAGTCTACTTCTACTGGAAATGGTTGGAGCACAGCCCTGCTGAAAAAGACCTGGGGGTACTGGTGGATGGCAAGTTGGACATGAGCCAGTAATGTGCCCTCGCAGTCCAGAAAGCCAACCATATCCTGGACTGCATCAAAAGAAGTGTGACCAACAGAGCAAGGGAGGGCCACAAAAATGATCCAAGGAATGGAACATCTCTCCTATGAGGACAGACAGAGAGAGCTGGGGCTGTGCAGCCTGGAGAAGAGAAGACTCCAGGGAGACCTGAGAGCAATCTTTCAGTATCTAAAGGGGGGCTACAGGAAAGAAGGGGACACACTCTTTATCAGGGTCTGTTGTGATAGGACAAGGGAAATGGTTTCAAACTAAAAAAGAGAAGACTGAGATTGCATATAAGGAAGAAATTTTTTACAATAAGTATGGTGAGGCACTGGCACAGGTTGGCAGAGATATGATGGTTGCCCCATCCCTGGAGACACACAAGGCTAGGCTGGACGGGGCTCTGAGCACCTGGTCTAGCTGTGGATGTCTCTGTTCATTGCAGGGAAGTGGGACTAGATGACATTTTGAGTTCCTTCCAACTCAAATGATTTTATGATATTTTCCACATGAAAAATAATGGTATTCTGTGCCATCTTGTAAGTGCAGATATTTGCTTGCATTAAAGTAAATAGCTGTAATTGCTCCCATTAAAGATCTTCTCTGGACTATTCATTTAGCACAGAACATGAAAACCGTTAAGTTGTTGGAACCAATAATATTACATTTACTTACAAATAAAAGTTACAGAATGTGAATATTTTTGCTAACATGTTATTAAGAGAGTTTTTTTTCAGCATTACAATGTAATTACACTACAATTTAAGTTGTTTCTTGGAAAAATATTTTATGGTCCTGTTCCTGGTGAAATGAGGAAGATGTATTATGGTGATTAAGATCTATGCTATTGCAAAGAATATCTGCTCTGCTATACACCTAGTTTATTTTATGAAAGTATCTATTTAAAAGAAAACCCAAGCAGGCGGCATATTTGTAGAGAGAGATTCAATAAAGGTAAAACAATTATACAAAATAAGGGGTGCATCTGTGGTGTAATAGTAAATGGCATAATTTTCTTGAGCGTAGAAGTTAGGTGGAATTTTCATAAGTTCAAACAGCGTCTTGTGAGAAGAATGAAGAGAGACTGGGAAAGTTAGGGTTATTTAGCCTGGAGAAGTCTCTGTGAAAACCTTATAATGGCCTTCCAGTATTTAAAGGGGGCCTATAGGAAAAATAGGAAGGAATTCTTTATCAAGGAGTGTAGTGACAGGACAAGAGATAATAGTTTTTAAAGTAAAAAAGGGTAGGCATAGATTACATATAAGGAAGAAATTGTGTACCATGAAGGTGGTAAGACACTAGAACAGGTTTCCCAGAAAAGCTGTGGATGCCCCATCCCTGGAAGCATTCAAGGCCAGGTTGGGTGGGGCCCTGGGCTGCCTGATCTATTGAGTAGCAACCCTGCCTATGGTAGGGAGGTTGGAAGTAGATGATCATTAAGGCTCCTTCCAACCCAAATCATTCTCTGATTCTATGAATCTCAGCTGCATAAATACATATGTTAATATATATATATATATGTTTTGCTTTTCTTAGGTTCATCAATTCAGTAACAAATCTACAGAAATGGCTTTAAGAGTTGCGTCACTTGACTATCTTGGAACTGTAGCTGCAAGATTGAGGAAAGATGCAGTCACTAGCAAAATGGATCAAGGGTCTATAGCCAGAATCCTCCAACAGGTGAGATCCTATGCCAGCTGGATTGAGTTGGATGGAGATGTATTCATTCAAATATTTGAAAATCATAGAGAGGTGCTTAAAAACAAAAGTTCCACTAAAAAAAAACAAAAAAAAAACCTGGCATGTGGAGAATCAATTTTCATTGTTCATATTTTTGAATTAAATACGTTCAGTTTATAAATATCACATTTTTTTGTGATCATATTAAAAAGTTAATGACAGTGGTAAAAACTTTTTTACTGTGACAGTAGGGAAGGAAATAATGGAGCAAAAATATCAGTTGAATTCTGTTTTGAGAAATTAAAAATATATGTATATACATAGGTTGCTCTGAAAGTACTGCCTGCTATTTATTTCCATAAAAAGTGCAACAGCTACAAAGATCACAACACTGTTCATTAGAACAAATTCTCAACTACAAAACAGTACTTTTCAATGTAGTCAACACTATTAGCTATGAATTTCTGCCAACAATGAACAAGAGCCTGCATGCTGTGCTTGTACAAATCTTCATGGCCATTCAGAACGTGACTTTATTCGACGCTGCTGAGGCTACTGCTGGAATATACCACTCACCCCTCACTGTGCTCACATCCACTGTTTGATCTCCATAGTTATTCAGCAAGCATCAATGAATGTCAGTGGTGCCATTTTTTTCCACATGGAGGAATTCAGTGACACGCATTTGCTTCATACTCACTTCCATGTCAGATGCCATTTTGTCAGACTTCCCCTCTGCTGACATCTGTCACATTGTGACAAAATAGAACAGGATATAGGCAGGAAAGTTAAGCTTCTGCTGCCGTAATGGTAACATCATAAAATAGGAAACTTTACTTTTGGAGCAGCACTAGTAATTTTTTCCTCTATGTACTAGTAGGTTATATGACAGTGATTTTAACAATTCTCCATCAGACTTTGTAGGGAAATATTTTACAAGTGAAGTATCCTTTTTCTTATCTCCAGAAGTTCTAATGGTATTGAAAGAAATTCCAGAATAATACATATGCAAATAGTGACCTGATTTTTTTTTTTTAATATAATTATATTTTTAACAGCATCAGGCAGTAACTAGGCATTGACATCTGCAGAAAATGAAACTGCTTTGAGAAATTGAGCACTAAAAGCATTTTTTCAGTTGTTCAAGAAGCTTAGCATCAATGATGGTAGACACTACCATCCATACATTATGGAAGGTATAAATTATTCAGTACCATGAGGCAGGGTATACAGTGTTGTTAATAAATTATTTGTAACTTAAGAACAAACAACTACAGCCTGTCATGAACAATATTTAATGTTGGTCTAAGGCTGGACTTTAAACTGCAATTTGGAAATACATTGGGGTGCCAAATGTATATCAATGAATCTATATCAGTATTATGTGCACTGCAGACATACTTGTTTTGAACTCTTGAATTAATCATTTTGAAAAAAAAAAAAAGAAATCATTTTACTGCTGTAACATCAGCAACTACAAGGACCTGTATATAGTGCAAAGGAAAAAAAAATGTTCTGTGTTTTTGTTGTTACACTGTCGTGTAGATTTTGAGAAAGTTAGTTTCTGACTAATGAACAAGATCATTAATACTGATTTATTCTCTGTAACTCCTATGTGGGAGAAGTGCATTGTCTGTTGGTCATATGCAAGGTTGTTATTTAATTTATATAGGCGGGAACTATTTAAGAGATTAAGATATGCATATTTTCTATAAGAATAGTCTCTTGGAAAAAATGCATTCTTAACATTCATACAGTTCATTTATTTACAAATAAGATACACTAGCATGTCTCCAGCACACTTACTTAGATTACGGTTCGGTATGTAAGATGCTTTTTGTGCATCTTAAATGTACTTGACAGGAAAATTAATATTATCCTATTCTGTAAAAAGGCTTTATGTGGTAGGGGGCATTTTTTATAAATGTTGTGTTTGCTCATAAGCTTTTTGACTAACAGAAACTTAGTTTAATCTTAGCATGATTCTTTATTGCTAGAGCTCAGAGGGGTTTGGGAATAATCTCTGTAAGCTTTCCTCTTCATAGTGTATGGGAACTGCTGAATCACGGCCTGAACCTCTGTTTGATCACCTGAGGCGAGCCATGAGTCAGCCAGAGGAGCACAGGTGAAGGCAATTCTCCTGTGCTGCCGGAAGGGGGGGAGCCTGGCTCCACCCCTCCTGGACCTATTTAAGAGCTGGCTACCAGGAGGGAAGGATCTCTTATGGAGGTTGGCCCTGCTGTAGTTTTGTAGTGAGCCTGGGATACAGCTAAGTGTCCTATTTTTTCTGCTTTGGTGTAGTAATAGTTAAGCTCTCTGGTATATCTTATAACTATAACATCTGTACATTCATTGATTGTACACATAGTTATGCCAAATATTTTTACAGAGGTTTTTTTTCTTTGTTGTTTTCTATATCTTTTTACTGTTGTCTATGTTTTCATATTTCTTTTCATTTGACTTTTTTGCCTTCTATCCCTTGTTCACCTGAGAAGTCACTGTTTTCAGTATTTTGTTGTTAGTGAGACAACTGACAATGATTTTTAAGGGTTAAACCTCGTGTGTCACTCTATATGATTTTAGCCCTATTTCTCTCAGTGATGGAAAATCTTCACACAAGATCATAGAATGGAAATAAAACAGTCAATCTGTTTTAAAACCAGTCTTATGTTGTTTTTAATTTTTTTTATTTTTTAAGACTTTGGACTCCCAAAGTCAAATTTTATTTAGCTTGTATGCGGTTTATGGGGAATTGCTTAAAAACTGTTCTGCGGTTATCAAAACTAACTTCTCTGTATTTTATAAGTGGGCATACAGATTGTCAAATGATAATTACCAGTGACTGAACGATATTGTATTTTATAACTGTCTTTATCCTGACAGGTTTCAGGAGGAGAAGATGAAATTCAGCAGCTACAAAAGGCTTTGCTGGATTATCTAGATGAGAATACAGAAACCGATGCGTCATTAGTGGTAAATTTCAGCTTTCTGATATCGAGCATTTATAAAAACAGTTCCTGTAATACATCTCCTGAAATAAATGACTTTCAGTCATGTATATTAGTGCTTCAATTGAAATTGTTACTCTAACATATACTGTTGATTATCTTTTCCAGAATATGGTTGATGCATTAGACTTACTTAATCTCATTATAAATGTTAATTTCCTTCTTCTGTATCTGTTGTTTTTGGGTTTTGTGCATTCTGCTGTATCTCTCCAGTTTTCTCGGAAGTTTTATATAGCTCAGTGGTTCCGTGATACAACTATGGAGACAGAGAAAGCAATTAAATCTCAGAAGGATGAGGATTCATCTGAAGGAACTCATCATGCAAAGGATGTTGAGACCACAGGACAAATCATGCATAGAGCAGAAAGTCGCAAAAAGTTTCTTCGTAGCGTCATTACAACTGCTGCATCTCAGTTCAGTACATTAAAGTATGTTTCAGTACTGCTGGTATTTTCATTAACCATGCGTTTGATGTTTTTTTATTTTAATAAACATGTCCTAATTAACATATTGAATTTGTTGCAGAATGAATTCTGATACTGTGGACTATGAAGATGCTTGTTTGATTGTTCGCTACTTGGCCTCTATGAGGCCGTTTGCCCAGAGCTTTGATATTTATTTGACACAGGTAAACTGTACCAAAAGTCTTAGTGGAGTAAAGCACAGTTGGCTTTTGACTCCAAACACATTTGGGGTAGTGTACAGTATCTGTTCATTGTTGAGTATAAGTATTTAACAGGCTATGGTAACACGTTTCAATATTCTGTAGTGATGCCATAAGTGCTTATTTTTCTTGCATGCATTTCATATATCATATTGTGCACGTTTTTGTCTGTATGTACATGGCAAAATCATTAGATGTCAACAGTAAAAGGATAATTCAAGTGTTTAAATCTGTTTCACGGTTTTTGTAAGATGCGTGCTCATTTGATAGTGCTAACTCATGAAATGTATCTTAATTTGATTTGAAAATATAAGCAAACTTGATCCTTTGCTTTCACAAGTGTGTGCTACTCTCACTTTGGTAGCAGTTGTTTGACCAGTATGATTTATTTGCTTTTTCTGGGAAAAGAGGATATGGTGACACATTTGAACTCCAATAATGGTTTAGGCTTCGTTACTTATTATCTGTGTACAAAGCCAGTCATAGAGTTACGGTGTCCAAATCCAACTTTCCTGTTAAAAGAACCATAGTGAAAGCCATATCTGAATGGCAAAATTAGATGTTAAAGGGACTTAAAGTGAACATATGGACTCTGTATAAATCCTGTTTCAAATAGTCTTAGAGGTAGAGCAAATCCTAGCAAATTTCCATGCTCAAGTGATCAGTGCCGTAGAGCCTCTTCACTGTCTGGAGGCATTCAAGGCCAAGCTGGATGGGGCTTTGAACAACATGGTCTGGTGGGAGTTGTCCCTGCAGGGGGGTTGGAACTAGATGATCTTAAAGGTCCTTTCCAACCCAACCCGTTCTATGATTCTATGTATTCAAGTTTTAGTTAGATGGATATTCTTATTTTAGTTAAATAGTTTGCATATTATTCTGCATTTTTGCCTATGTTATACATTGTTCACTGCCTTCCCAAAGCAATTGAGATTTTGTTTTTGTTCTCTTATTAGATTCTGCGTGTGCTTGGTGAAAATACAATTGCTGTTCGAACAAAAGCCATGAAGTGTTTGTCTGAGGTTGTTGCTGTAGACCCCAGTATTCTAGCCAGGGTAAAAAAGGAAATATCCATCCTGTGTATTTTTATCACACTTAAAAGAGATCTTGATTTCTGATTTTGGATTTTGTTTTTGTTTTTTTTGTTTTTTTTTTTTGTGTTTTGTTTTGTTTTTTTTTAGCTGGATATGCAACGAGGTGTTCATGGACGATTAATGGATTACTCCACTAGCGTACGAGAAGCAGCTGTAGAGCTGCTTGGCCGATTTGTGCTCTGTCGTCCTCAGCTTGCTGAGCAGTATTATGACATGCTGATTGAAAGAATATTGGTATGGTGACCTGTAATAAAGTAAATGGCGTTGGGAAACTTGTTTTCAGCAGTTTATGTAATCAATAATATGGAATTATCACCCCGAAAGTAAATTGTCCTTTATTGTTTTTAGTGAGGAGCATCATCTTTCTAAGATCAACTCTGTAAAACACATCACTTGTTTCCAATGTGACTTTATGTCAGAAAGTAAACATACAAAGAAATGTACCTTGGCAGAACCAGGATTGTGTTCCTTTTTTATTCCGCTGTTAAGGCACAAATTAGGTGAAATGGGTTATTCCACATGTTTGAAGTTTGAGATGTAGATCTCTGAAGGCAATTGGGGATGATGAAGAAACATCTACAGCACAGTAATTTAAATTTGGCTCTTGTGTGTTCCAACAAAGAAACTAAAATATCATTGCATTTTGCTTGTAATCTCTTGAAGTGAAATTATACATTTGTAACATCATGAGCTCTTAAATCAGAGGGTATAAGTGGAGGAAGTATTTCAGCATTTGCGGCACTCAGCCAGGCTTTTAGAATTGTTGCAAGTAAAGTGGCAAGAGTTGCATTGACCTTTCATATAAATCCACTCAAGAATATTTTAGCAGCTGCTTCTTTTAAATATATTTTGTACGTTGGATTGGTTGATCTTTAAATGTTAGTTCGCATAATGCACGTTAATTCATGTGTTGGATTTATTTTCAAGAGTTGTGATGGTTTTTCTCACAGGATACTGGTATCAGTGTCAGAAAAAGAGTGATAAAGATACTTCGGGATATCTGCATTGAACAACCAACATTTCCCAAAATTACAGAGATGTGTGTGAAAATGATTCGGAGAGTCAATGATGAAGAAGGCATTAAGGTATAATAAAAAACTTTTGTCAGGATTTTAATTACCAGTGTTTTAGTGTTTTTATATTTTCACGCACAGAAAAAATAAAACCCACATTGCTTCTTTGTAAGGTTTTAGTTTTATTTACTTTTAATTTTTGAGGTATTTAGTATCTTGAATTTAAATGCTCACTTGTTTTTGTTTCTCTTGTTTTCTTCAAGTTTTTGCTGTCAATCAAAAGATTTTTTTTTTGAGAGAGGTATATTCTAGAGTTTTTTTCTGCTTGCAAGCACTGTCTGATACTTCTCTAACAAGTAAAGCTGGAATATAAAAATCCTTTCTGCAAACAAAAGCTTTAGGTCAAAATGAAGTGTTTGACATTACTATATAACAGATATGTAAGTTCTACATGTAAAACGTGAAGTATTTGTGTCCTTTTTTGTATTTCTGAACACTTAATCATTTTATCACTTACTGATGTGATCAAATTCTTTATGCAATGTGTATGCGAAAGGGTGCAAAACTAAGATTATATGATAAATCATAAACCTGACTGTTTTTGATTCAACAAAAATAATTTTAAAAATATCTGGGTAATTAAGAATATACCTGTGATGATTTTGTGCCACACTTTCAGTGGGATTTAAAATCTGCACCTTTAAAGCTGAGCATATATTTTTACCACTTGAGATGTGTTAATGCCAAATGGTTTTCAGTGAAAACTGTTAATCAAAACACAGTATCTGAGGTGCTGGAAGCTGGATGTAATGTGCTGCTATGAAAGGAGGATGACCTTGTTTTCAATCCCCTTCTTTCCCCCTTGCCTTTCCACCAACCTCAGTCTCTACAATGCATTTTCTATATTTCCATGGTTGAGGAGAGATTCTTATAAATGTATGCTTTATAAGCAGTGCAGGAATAGTGTAGTACACTTTGATTCTATTCCACCTTTTTCACTATCCGAAAACATTGGAAGGGAACCTAATTCATAAGTTTGGCTGTAAAGACTTGGGTTCTCTCCCATACCTTGTCACAGCTTCTGAAAGCTCCCAAGTAATCTACCACTGCTGCTAATTCTGCTATACAAGTTACAATCTTGTGTTCAGTTGTAATTTCCTCAGGGTACTATGTTTTCCTCATGAATGCAAACTAGTGCAGGAAAATTGTAATTCCATTTTCTGTAGCATCAGTTCCCAGTGATCATTTGGTACTTTACTTGTTTAGAAACCGATATAACTCTTGTAATAGTAGATCTCTGTCTCAGATAATATTTTCTGCAACCATCTTAGTTTGAATAATTCCTCGTGAATTATTGAAAAGTTTTTTTTTTTCCTGTGGGTTTTTTGTTTGTAGACTACATCTACAACGTATATTGTATGGATATATTAGAGATAACACCTTCGTGCCAAGATAAGCTTGCTTATTTGTGCTAATGATTGTTTTTGTTTTTTGTTTTGGTGGTGTGTTTGTGTGTGTTTTTTTTTTTGTTTTTTTTTTTTTTTTTTTCCCATTCAGAAATTAGTAAATGAGACTTTCCAGAAGCTCTGGTTCACTCCAACTCCCCATCATGACAAAGAAGCAATGACCAGGAAAATACTAAACATCACTGATGTGGTACATTATACAGATTTCAATTAGTTTGCATGCAAAATGTGATTATATTTTTAGTATCTTTAAAATATTATCTGTAGTCTTTTAGAAAGCAAAAAATACTCGAGTATCTTACTTAGCAGGTGGCTTTCTTCATATATCTCCTGGCATTGAATATATGCTAGAACTATACTAGAATTATTTATCTGATGGAACAAGCTTTGGAAAGCTTTAAATGATTGATAATATGCTGGCAATGATAACTGGAATCACATTATGTTCAAGCAAATGCTAGTAGTAGCATATATGTAAGTCTAGCTGAGAGATCTCTTTTTTAAGAAAAAAATCTTCAAACAATTGATAATATTTATTTTGAAGGATTAATAAGCTTTTTTAACAAGTACAGGGTCACCTAGAGTAAACTAATATCTGCATAATATACTTCATAAGAGCAGTGAATTAAACAGCATGTCTCAAAAATCTGTTTCAAATAAAATCCTTATACATTTGTAGTGAAAGTGTTCTGTGTAAAATCGCTGTGCTTGGAAGGTGTTTTAATATCAGTTTACTGAAGATGTAAAGATCAAACAAGTACTTGTTTTACTACTTAAAATTGTTTAATCTCTATCCTGCTTTTCAGTATTTTTACTAAACGATAGTGTGGTATGCATTTTTCCAGACTTAAAAGACAGTTGATTTGACTTCAGCTTAACTTAGTACTCCTGCTAATTCCACTTTAGAGCACCTGTGAGCTGATCTTGATATATGATGAGAGTTAAGGATTTATTTGTTTATATAATCTGAACAACTGAAGAAAAAAAAAACTAAAAAAAAAAAATAATAATTTTGCAGTGGTCAGAAAAATATGTAGGCCTTGTGTTGTATGGAATATCAATTCTGGAGCTGCTTAAATGAGGATGTTTTTTTTCAAATGCAGGGAATGGTTTCTATTTTCCAAAAGTGTAAAATCATTGTACTGAATGCATACAAAAATATGCATGTTTTCTGCTCTTTAAAGATGAAATCTGCATTGAAGTAATATTCAAATTCCTTTGTTAACCAATTTATTCTCAATACTGCTTTTAGGTTGCAGCTTGTAGAGATACAGGGTATGATTGGTTTGAACAGCTTCTTCAAAATGTAAGTAACAAATTTGTAATGTATGACATAATTGTTATAAGAATATTAACAATTCCTTTCATACTAAAATGCATTGAAGGAGGACTGCTGTGTGGAAGACTTCCTGACGCAGCTGGTAAGAGAGCCTACCAGGGGAGGTGCCCCCACTAGATGTGCTGTTCACAAACAGAGGACTGGTGGTAGATATGGAGGTCAGGAGGTGTCTTCAGAAGAGTGACCACAAAATGGTAGAGTTCTCAATTCTTGGTGAAGTCAGAAAGGGGGCCAGCAAAACTTCTACCTTGGACTTTTGGAGGATGGACTTTGAACTGTTCAGGACTATGGTAGGGAGGGTCCCTTGGGATTCAGTCTTGAGGGGTAAAGGGGTCCAGGAAGGCTGGTCACTCGTCAAGAAGGAAAGCTTAAAGGTGCAGGAGCAGGCTATTCCCCCTGTGCTTCGAGATGAGCTGGCAGGGAAGAAGACTAGCATGGATGAACAGGGATCTTTTCCTGAGGCTCCAGGAGAAAATGAGAATCTACCTCCTGTGGAAGAAGGGATGGGCAACTCAGGGAGAGTGCAAAGTTGTTGTTAGGATATGCAGGGAGAAAATTAGAAAGGCAGAAGCCCAACTTGAACTCAACTCGACTGTTGGGGTAAAAGGGAGCAAAAAACTTTTTTACAAATATATTAACTTTAAGAGGAGGGCTAAGGACAATCCCCATCCTTTACTGGATGCGGTGGGGAACATGACCACTGAAGATAAGGAAAAGGCTTGTGGTTCTCAATGCCTTCTTTACATCTGTCTTTAAAAGTCAGACCAGTTATCCTTTACCTCCTGAACTGGAAGTCTGTCCTGTTTATCTTTATTGATGACCTGGATGAAGGGATTGAGTGCACCCTCAGTAAGTTTGCACATGACACCAAGTTGGCAGGAAGTGTTGATCTGCCTGGGGAGGCCCTACAGAGGGATCTGGATATCTGGGCTGAGGCCAGTGGGATGAAGTTAAACAAGGCCAAGTGCCGGGTCCTGCACTTTGGCCACAACAACCCCAGGCAAAGCTACAGGTTTGGGGCAGAGTGGCTGGAAGACTGTGTAGTGGAAATGGACTTGGGGGTATTAGTCGATGCTCAGCTGAACATGAGCAAGTAGTGTGCCCAGGTGGCCAAGAAGGCCAATGGCATTCTGGCTTTTATCAGCAATAGTGCAGCCAGCAGGAGCAGGAGGTGATCATCCTTCTGTACTCAGCACTGGTGAGACCACACCTCAGTGCTACATTCAGTTTTGGGCCCCTCACTACAGGAAAGACATTGAGGCCCTGGAGCGTGTCCAGAGAAAGGCAACAGAGCTGGTGAGGGGTCTGGAGCACAAGTCTTACAGAGAGTGTCGGAGGGAGCTGGGGTGGTTCAGTCTGGAGAAGAGGAGGCTGGGGGGGACCTTTTTGCTCTCTATAACTATCTGAAGGGAGGTTGTGGTTAGGTGGGGTCGGCCTCTGCTCCTATGTAACTAGCACTAGGACTAAAGGGAATGGCCTCAAGTTGCACCAGGGAGATTCAGGTTGGATATTAGGAAAAGCTTCTTCTCTAAAACAGTGGTCATATGTTGGAACTGGCTTTTTTTCTAATCATTCTGAAAAGAATGTTACTTTATTAGTTACTTTTGAAAAATATGTCTAGATTTTTTTCATAACTTCACGAAGCACGATGTTAACTTTCATCTCAGTGCAAAATCAGTAGAACTGCTCTCTTCTGTCCTTTTGTTGCAGTTAATTTTTCTTTGGTTTGATTTATTATTTTTATTTTTTCCTTTAAATTTTATTTACTATGTAGCTTTTATGGAAAAGACAAATTCTGTTGTAATGAAAAATCCTTGTATACCTGTAATAATTATTATAAAACCAGTATGTATCCAATGTAAGTGAATGCTCACTTATTACTATATCACTTTTTTGTTTCATCTGCTGTAGCTGTTGAAGTCAGAAGAGGATGCTTCATATAAACCTGTGAAGAAAGCTTGTACTCAACTTGTTGACAACTTGGTTGAGCATATCCTTAAATATGAAGAATCTTTATCAGGTAATACTACTTAGAATCCAGTAGCTAAACTACTTTGATTTTGTAAGTAGGTTGCTCCGAAAGTACTGTCTCCTACTTATTTCCATGGAAACTACAACAGATAGAGCAAATTCTCAGCTACGAAACACCAATTTTCAACATAGTTACTCCCATTAGCCAATACATGCAGATGAGCTAATTGAGATGCTCTTCATTTTATGGTGTGCCAGCTGTGCATGTTGCATCATTGTCACCACTGCTGAAATGCACCACCCACCCCTCACTGTACTCACATCCACTGTTTTGTCTCCATGATCATTCAGCATGCATCGATGATATCAGTGGGTGTCCTATTTTCCACATGGAGGAATTCAGTGACACATTTTGCTGCGTACACACTTCCATGTCAAATGTCATTCTGTCAGACTGCCCGTCTTCTGCCATGTGTCATACAGCAACTTAATGTAACAGGACATTGGTGGGAAGGTTTAACCTCTACTGCCATCCCATCAACATCCACCTCTGATGTCATGGACCAACAGAATAACATCTGAAGTGTTACTTTCAGAGCAGCCCTCATATAATACTGTAATTGTGGTTGTTAAAATTACTATCACAAAATGTTATTGTTACAGAACTTGTATTTCGAAACTAGAGGTAGTGAATTACTGCGTTAAAGTTTATAGTGAACTTTTGAGCACTGAATAATAATAAAGCTTCACTAGTTTTTCTCTAGCTAACCTCAATAACAGAACTACTTCTGAAATAATTTGTTAAAACTTTTAGATAACTAAAAACAAAACAAATATGAAAGGTTTCTGTTCTACAGTTATAATAGGAAATATTGGCTGAGCTAGTGTTTTGCATATAGTAAATATTTTTTTTTAAATAGTAATGTCTTTGAAGTAGCTCTGCTGCTTATTTCACATATTTTCTGATCCTATGCAAATGTTAACACATGTTCTCATCTCTAATGCTCTTACCTAATAAGAATGCATAAGAATATTCTGTACTGGTCTTGAAAGATATGTCATGGAAGAGCTAGTCATATGATGTTTAGGCTATATATTTTTAGTTGATCAAACAATACTTGAATCTAATATATTTTGTATATTTTCTAATTTTTGCAGATTCTGACAACAAAGACATGAATTCTGGTCGCTTGGTTGCTTGCATAACTACTTTATTCTTATTCAGCAAAATCAGGCCCCAGCTAATGGTCAAACATGCTATGACCATGCAGCCATACTTGACTACTAAATGTAGCGTAAGTAGAGAAAAATCAGAATAACAGTCTTGTTTTTCCCCAGGTAATTAAGAATAGGAATGAATGGCTGTCTTGTATGCTTGAGATTGAAGGTAGGAAAAGAGAAAGTTCATAGAATTATAGAATGGCTTGGGTTGGAAGTGACCTCAAAGATCATCTAGCTCCAACCCCCTGCTATGGGGGGAGTTACCCCACCCACTAAATCAGGTTGCCCCATCCAGCCTGGCCTTGAACACCTTCAAGGATGTGGCATCCACAGCTTTTCCAGGCAGCCTGTTCCAGTTTTTTACTGCCCTCAGAGTAAAGAATTTCCTCCTAAGGTCTAATCTAAATCTCCCCTCTTTTAGTCTAAAACCATTCCCCCTTGTCCTTATCACTGTCTACTCATGTAAAAAGTTGATTTCTCTCCTCTTTATAAGTTCCCCTTAACTATTGGAAGTCTGCAGTGAGGTTCCCCTGAAGCCTTCTCTTCTCCGAGCTAAACACCCCTAGCTCCCTCAGTGTTTGTAGGAGAGGTGCTCCAGCCCTCTGAGCATCTTTGATGCCTCTTCTGGTCCTGCTCCAACAGCTCTGCATCCTTCTTATACGGGGGGCTGTAGGCCTGGATGTGGTTCTCCAGTTGGGGCCTTAAAAAGGGAGAGCAGAGGGGGACAATCCCCTCCCTCTCCTTGCTGCTGCCCCCCCGTATGGGGAGGGGGGGGGGCTGTTGGAGCAGGACCAGAAGGGGGGGGGGGGGGG